AGAGCAAGGTTCACATCTGCTGTCATAGGGCCGCTATGAGTCTTCGTTGACTCGACGGCACCTAACAGCGGCAATCTCTACAGAAGCAGATGGCCAGATCTCTCATTCTCTGCAGCCACTGGACAGATTTGAACTACTAACTTTTTTGTTAACAACCAAGGGCTTAACCGCTTCACAACGAGGAGGTGCAAACCACTCTCCTCACTTAAAGACAGCTGGGCCTTCCTCAAAGACACTGGCATCTGTGTGTGTGCATCTCAGGGGCACAGATCAGCTGGAGGATCCCAGATCTGACACCTGGGAGCGTGTTGAGGAGCTCTGTGCCCATCTTCAGCCCTGGTTCACTACCTCCTCAGGGTGTCAGAATTCTATCCCATCACCTGAAAGAACTCAATCCAAGAGGTGTTACCTTTGAAACAAGGGAGCTAGTGCAATGAGAAACAAAGGAAGTAAAGGGCATATAGATCAGGAAGGAAGGAAGGGGGGAGGGAGGGAGGGAGAGGGGACTTAGACAGGTGTCTAACACAGGTGTCTAGCACAGGTGTCTAACACAGGTGACTAAGTGACCTACTCACAAGATCCCACTGAATCTGTTAAAATTAATTTAAATTAAAAAAAAAACAAAAACAAAAAACAACCCTAGACCTTTTTTTTTTGTCCCACACCTTCACAAAGCCGCACTTGTAGTAGCTCCTCTTCAAGCTTCGCGATGCCGCCCAAGGACGGCAAGAGAAAGAAAGATGCCAGAAAGTCAGCCAAGATGGACAAAGACCCAGTGAACAAATCTGGGGGCAGGGCCAAGAAGAAGTGGTCCAAAGGCAAAGTCTGGGACAAGCTCAATATCTGGGTCTTGTTTGACAAAGTCACATACGACAAACTCTGTAAAGAAGTTCTCAGCTATAAGCTCATAAACCCCAGCTGTTGTCTCTGAGAGGCTGGGGAAGGGGACCCGGCAGGAGCTGCTGAATGAAGGACTTATCAAACTAGTTTCAAAACAAAGCGCTCAAGTAATTTACACCAGAAACACCAGGGTAGTGATGCCCCAGCAGCTGGTGAAGATGCATGAACATGTCCAACCAACTGGACATTTTGAGAAATAAAACACAACTTTAATAACTAAAACAACATAAATTTAAAAACTCTTAACTCCTAGAACAAGGAAATGAAATAAAAGTTTAAAATGTAATTTATCCTATGATATATAAAAATCAGTTATATTTCTATGTATTAACTACAAGCATGTAGAAACCAAAATTTAAAATGAAGTTGTTGTTGTTGTTGTTGTTGATTGTCATCGAGTCAAGCACTACTCACAGTGACCCTATGAACAAAAGGCCTTTCTATAACTATTGTCATTAAACAAAGTTCATAGAGTTCATGTTGTTTAGGAGGTGGATGCCACTCCTGCTTCCAAGCCTGTCTTAAACTGGGAGCTCCACCAAACACTGTCTACCATGGGCACCATTATGGCATTTGACACCCCACTGGCACAAGGTTCAGCATCACAGCAAACCCAGATTACCTCAGTACAGCAAATTGACAGAAGAGTGCTGTATGACTTAGAAGAATGTTCCTCTAAAATATAATGAAAATATAGTACTGTTTTAAATTATTTTTTTAATAATTTTAATGAACATTTATAGAGAATTTGGATTTCCATTCATTCATTGCTGCACTTCTCTACCCGCCCAGCCCTTTCCCCCAACCCCCCAGTTCACTCCTCTCTTTCAAAAGTAAAGACTCCCTCCCTGGTACACAATCCCCCCGCACCCCTCCCACCACCCCAAGTACATTCCACTATACAACCTTAATTGTGGACTCTTGTGATTACCATAATACCCTATCATACATTGCTTTTAAATTATTCAGTCCCTCATCTGTTTCAGTGCAGTATATACAATTTATCCAGTTTTTCTCAGT